TGCAAAGCACAAATTAAATATTTCCATCAAAATTTGTGTAACGATCAGGAAGGGGCTGCTAGAGGCCTGAGTGAGTGTGGGGAATACGCATTCCAAATTAATAAACAATTCTTTATTAGTTAAGAATTACAAAATCAACAAAAAATCAAGAAAACCACGGAAAAAAACCCAGATCCAAGCTGCCGCCGCACAATTTTCTAGTGCCACAAAAACAATTCCAAGTTCACTACTAATCACCGCTTTAGACATCACGAAAGGAGAACTCGAGTCAAGAAACGGGACATTTGCATATTACAGGGAAACGAAGGGCAACTGAGCAAGGAGAAGGGGATTTAGCCACCATCTTTGTTTCCTTGCTGCTGGCACTTCCTTCCGCAACATTTGCGCACCAGCGATTTCTGCGCCAAAATTTACGGCTTTTACCAACAATTCGAACAAAACTTCTCATAGTCCTGCTCCATCAAAACCTCTATATTCATCTTTCATGAGAAGCTTAAGCACTTAAAAGCACTGGAAGTGTAGAATGCGTCAACCAACATTAATACTCGAAAAAAAAGAACCATCAGCAGACCCACTATCCCGACTATTGTGGTCCCCTTTTTCGAGGCCTGTTCATGAGCAAGCTGGCGACAGTAAAAATCCCCCCCCCCCCTCCGATGCCGAATTTTCGAGAATTTTTAACAATTCCAAGGCTGAGTACTCGTTAGCGCCCCTGTTCCAGCTGTCTGAGACTGAAATGTTCTGTTCAACAAAATTTCTCACCTACTAGAATGTTTTTTTACATTTCACATGCCTTTATGTAGTGGCTAATTTACAGCAGAGACCTTGTTCGGGCAACTGGAACTTTTCCAACGCTAAACAAACAGACCTCTTTTTTTCCAGATTTATTTTGAAATTCAATCAATAAACAAAAATAACGACAGCTGTGAACAATGAGGACAAGCAGCAGAATTTTTTCTCACAAACGAATGGATTAGAAGGGAATTTCGGCAACACATAAATTTGTACAGGAATTGAAATTTGAATTTTGTGGATGGGAAAAGTATAGAACAGATGGCCGGAGCAGGCCGAAGTCATTCGATGCAGAAAATTTTACTTATTCAGCAAAATAAGCGAAAATTTTAAAAAATTGCTCTGCAATTCCCCAAACAAAAATCTTCCTGGTTTTCTCTACACTAACCATCGCAACACGATTAAGCAAAAAAAATAAAAATAAAAAAAATCGTTTTTTGTTTAAGTAAAAATCGTTTTTGAAACTCACAAAAAAGCATAAAGTTTTTTCCTTTAAGTAATATTCGACATGGAATTTTGTTTAATAGGTAAGGGAAATCAAAAAAAAAACTTTGAAATACTGGAAAAAGACGATATAACTGGTATCAAAATCAATCTGACGTAACAGTAAAGTCAAAAAACAAACACAGTAAGATGGTTCAAAATTATTTTTCATTGCTTGTGATTCTATCCCAGGGAGACTAACTTGAAATTCGAATCTCATAGACTTCACCGTACCAAGAAAACGCATTTTTAAGGAGCCACCGAACAACCCGCTCCGTTTCGTGATTAATTTTGGTCATGTCATATTTTTAGCACACATTTCACGCAGATACTGCTTTCGGTGCTTCACAGGCAGAAATTCACGCCCATCTGAGAACAGTCACGCTTTTTTCAACCGCATAACCAACCACGACGGAAAATAATGCCTTTTCTCAAAAAAAAAAAAAAACATGCAAAAAAAAAAAAGTTATATTAGAGAGAGAGAGAGAGCTAATGATGATCATCTGATGAATGCTTCTCAGCAAGCAATGCCTGCCAAACACCAAAACTAGTGACTTTTCATGCGAATACATCTTCTCTGTCAGCTGAAGCAACTCCCAACGGGTCGTCAAATCCTTTGAAATTCTGGAAATGCAGCGGTCGATGATCTTCGTGATAGAATTCCTTCGGAGTTGCCAGCATCAAATCATATCGCATGCTGGCCTCATGGCGCACTCCTGAAAATGAATTCATAGCACTTCCACAGTAACAATCACTAACATCCTGTCCGATCATCAAGTTGCAACAATAAATAACAACTGACCAACACCCAGACTGCCTGTGCGAAGATGCGTTTTTTGCATAGTTCCCCGCAGTTTTTGTCGCTACCGGCACCGGTTTTTCTGGCAAATGCTTCCAGCTAAACAAATTAAGACTAGCTACCCCCTTAAAATTCCAATCTTCTAGCTTCTCAGACTTCCGACTTAGCGACTTATCCGAAAAAAAAAAACTTGGCGGGCCCGTACGTGGGTGCCACGCATACCCGGGGGCTGGTTTTGAGCTCATTGATACCTGCGTGGACGAGGAACGTCTTCTTTAAATTTTAACTTTCTAGCTTTTCTGATTCACGAGTTAGCAGCTTACCCGCAAAAAACTTTGGCGGGCTCTTACGTGGGTACCACGCGGGTAAGACC